TGATGCTGTCTATCTTCCAGCAGAACTAGCTGAGAGGCCGTAAAAACCCCACTGCATTGTTGTTTCTGGCTGCCGCCTGCTCCTAAGCCAGGAGTGCCCCCAAGCCCAGTTCACAGAATCACAGACTGGTAGGGGTTGGAAGGGACCGCTGGAGATCATCTGGTCCGACTCCCCCACCAAAGCAGGTTAGCCTAGAGCAGGTCACATGGGAATGCGTCCAGACGGGTTTTGAATGTCTCCCAGGGAAGGAGACTCTCCTTGTCAAGGGGGAACAGTCTGCCCTGATAGGAATGTGCCCAGGGCTGCCACTGGTTAAGGACTGCAGTGTTAGGACTCTGTAGAGTGCTGAGGGACTCATCCCTGCACTGTGTGCTTGCCATCAGACTGCAGTGAGATATTTCTTGCTACCCGACGAAAGGCAAGAGGCAATGAAGTGGCAAACCTGAGGTAGGCATGTTGCTAGAGACAACTCTAGTGCTTTCCACAGGAAAGGGCTGTGCCCTCCTGGCCCTCTGCATACTAGTACTGTGGTAACATTCTGGGAGAGTGCATGGGGAAGAGCAAGGCTGCATCTCTGCTGTTCTCTGCACCCTGGAAACTACATTTCCCATCTGCCTACAGCCTGTCAGTCTTTGGATCATGCCCAGGGACTTCAGCAGGGGGTCAGGGAGTAACCTCAGGATTGCCCTGTCCCTATACAGCTCTCCACTGTGTGCTCTCAAGCCAGGTCCACCACCAGCATGTACTCTGTAAGCCAGTGTAGTTTGACCTGCTCCACCTTCCCAGCAGCCTGGGGTGCCCCACAATGCAGCTTTCTCATCAGAAGCTCTGGGAGACAGCTGGTCCTGAAACCTTTCCATTTCCTGGGTTGCCAGACCCACATTAGTCCACAGCCAAGCCTGGAGTCTCTATAGTGTGGAAAAATCCCGCAGCAGACACTGGAGCATGTACCTAGTGACTCGATTCACAGCACCCTGTGCTGGTGGTGAGAAGCAGAGAGCTGTCTGGGCTGCTGAGCTACAGTGCCTTGGCTTTCCCTGTCCTCTTGGCTTCCCCAGGCAGCATGCCCTGTTCCAAATTCCTGGCTGAGCGCTGAGGCCGGAGCTGCCAGCAAGCCCAGATCTGCCTAGCAGCCAGCTCACCTCAGAGCCCAGGACAGCAGCTTCGCACGCATCCCGACGGGCCTTGCCACTGGCATGGATGTGCCTGACAGTTTGTCACTTCACAGCTGCGGCACCTGCACAGCCCCTGCCTCCCTGGCACGGCCGGCGCCCTGAGTGGCACCAGCTGGCTTGGCCGGTCGCACTGTCTCTGAACAGGCCTTCGGCGCTGCACACTGCCAGTGTGTGTGAGACAAATAGGTGCCCCAGCAGAGAAGAGGAAGCCCAGGAATTCTTTAGCACCCTACCAAATGTTTTGGTGCATGGAAACCACAACGAACCCTTTCTCCAGACGATGGTGGGTGCAGGTTAGGGAAGGACAAGATGAAGCAGGGTGCTATGTGAGTCTTGCTAAGCTGTTCCTCCCCTCGCCTAGCTCAGTCTGTGAGCATTCCTCAGAAGTGGTTCAGAGCAGGACAGGGTATCTGGGGACAAATACCCTCTGGGCACAGCCAGCAGAGGACAGGCAGGCTGCACTCCCCCAGGTTTGAAGTACAGACTTCCCAGCCCGGCTGTCGCCCGTCATCCCAGTGCTCACGCTGGCTTCTGCGCTGCTCTGAGGTCCATGCAAAGTCCCTGGAGCTTTAGGCCCAGACAGATTTCCTTCTGCAGAGCTCACTTGAGCAGAGAGAGGCAGAAAGGCACCTGCTGTATGTTGAAAGCCTCAGCTCATTCCAGGAGCATCCCTGAATGCTGGCAGCTGGCTCAGCTCCCTTGGGAAGCACCCCAGTACTATCACCTGGCCAACACCATGCTGTGTGGTGCTCATGCCATGGACTTTTCAAGTAGAGCTTGCCTTTGAGGAGAACACACGATCCTTGCAGAGCTGAGTTCAAATCCTTTGCTGAAGGGTTTATGGGGTAAGTGTGGCTCAGAGAGAGGACCATCCAGGCCAAGTGCTCCCTGGGACGGTCCTTTGGAAATTCTGGCAAGGCAGCATAAGTACAATCACCAACCCCAGGCTTCTTTAAAAGGATACCTTACCATCCTTCTCTGTTGTCTGATTTTTTGACTCCTGAAAGAGTTGTAATGAGAAGCCTTGACTCTCCATGGAATTATGTGAGCCATTGATAAGCAAAAGTGAAGTCTGATGTAGTTGTTGAAGTCATTATGTCTCAGTTTGCAGGAAGAGTTGGCCTATGGTCACACTTCTTGCAGCTTCCCTTGCTGCTGTGGCCAGTGTGACCCTTTGAAAAAGCAGGTGTGTCGGGGACCAACCCTTGTGGACCGGTAGACATGGCACCACTTGTCTGCAGAGACCAGGGCATCTGCTCACTGATGGATCCCGGTTAGACAAAGTCCTTCCAGTTGTTTCTTCTCATGCCTGCTGTCATCCAAGGAACTATACCCTTCAATAATGCTGGGCTCAGGGTTTTCAAAGGCCAGCTGTCCCTCTACCCAGGCAACGTTGGTGTTTTCTCTCCGGCAAGCACCCCTCAGCCCCTCATGTGTTTTCTTACCCTTTGTCCATGCAGAACCAGTCCCAAAGTCATGTGTGGAGCTTTTTAGCAGCTCTGTCCACAATAAAGTTTTCTATGCCCTTTGCTAAATAGTTTCCTCCTTTTTTGCAGTCATTCATTTGTCCACCCAGTTGTTGGTCTCCCTCACTTTTCCTGCACCTCTGATGTTGCAGTTCGTCTTAGCATCTTAACCTGTGTGGGGATGATAGCGGTCCCCTCTCTGTATGAATGTTAGATGGGACTGCCTTTCCTGAGGGACAGGGGGTAGACCACCTTCTCCAGGACATATGCAACTCCCGCCTGGTTTCTGTGCTGCAGCAGGGTGAGCACCACAGGGAGGAGGCTGGTCCGCCTGTGCACTGTGCTGCCCAAAGGCTGCTGTGCCCTCTGGGGTGAGTGAAGCCAGGTTTCGTGGTCTATCAGATGTCCAGGGAAAGAAAGGTCGTGTGTGTCCTGAGGTGGCAGATTCTGAGCACAAGCTGGGAACGACGGGGATGTCCTACAGTTTGCTGGGACCTGACCCTCTCCAGGAGCATGGGGCTCACCTTCAGGTTCAGCATTTTAGTCGTCCTCCCCTTCCCAGGCTGTGCTCGCTGGCCTGTTGTCCTACTGAGAACGGCCTGTAAGCCCCAAGTTCCCCTGCCACACACATAGACACCCATCTGGGACCGGTCTTTGGCCCAGAGTCCCTGACAACCAGTGCTGAGCCCCATTTGCTGCTGGGCTGTACCGGTTCTGTCCTGCCCTGCAGGCTTCTCCATAAGGAGCAGGAGCCCACGCTTTTTGTTGGAGACCAGCAGGATGCCCTGGGCGCCCTGATTTGGGTGTTTCTCTGGGCAGGGGAGACATCCTTCTGCTGCCTGCAGCTGAGACATGGAACATTTTCTCCACTACATCAAGCGCTGGAGGAAGCAGAATAAACCAAGGTTGCAAAACGTGCAATGCCTTGTCCGTGCATTGGGGCAGCTGGGTGCTGAGCAAAGAGCCAGGCCCCAGCAGAGCAGGCTCCCAGCTAGTTGGACTCTGATCTGAACCTCACGGGCATCAGGCAGGATTGTGTGTGCTGTGTGGTGTTTGATTTTGTCCGGGTTTTTTGGTTTTGCCACAACCACGTTAAAGGAGGGCTGTTGAAGACGCATATTGGGCACCCAAGGGTGAAAATGGTGAGACTGAGATGGTTTTAGCTCCTGGGAGAACTGCTCTCTGCCCCAGATCAGGTCCCAGCAAGGTTGAACCTTTGCAAGTGCAGTTCAGCATCTCACCTGAGCCGCTTCATGCCAGGAGGGTCTTTTGCAGACTCCGCTTTACAATATACATGTGCCCTCGGGAGCCTAGCTTTGGGTGCTGTGTGTGGTATCCCACAAAGTCGTGGAAGTTTTCCATGGCAGGCAGCTGATACCCTTCCAGGGTGGTCACGGCAGGGGCAGGCACAGCCTGGGCTCTCTCCTTCCCCACCTCGTTTCTGTCCCTTTGGGACCCTAATGCTGATACCCTGCGGGTTC